TTTGACGTGGGTTTGCAAAGTATCGTGCACAACAGACCAGTCACTGAGTAATCAGCGAGTAAGTCCAAGAGTGGAGGTTTGAACAGAAGTATGAAGCTGCAACATACTGTATACTGCATACTATTTTATATATATATTGGATTTACCCTTCCATGAGAAGTGGCTGATGGCAACCTGACCACACATCCTACAAGTCCTTGGACAACACTTTCTGCTCTTCTTATGGGATATGACAGCAGACGTCTTCAATTTCGCTTGTGTGACAAGAGTTTTTATGTGAGTTGAGAATGAGACTACAGCAGCACTGTGGCACAGCGGTTAGCATTGCTTCCTCACAGCGCTGAGGCCCTGAATTCAATGACCAGACCTGGGTGGCTTTCTATTTGGAGTTTGTTCTCCCCATGTTTGCTCTGGTTTCCTCACACAGTCCAAACACATGCTATACTGGTAGGTGAATTGGCTTCTGGGAAAACTGGCCCTGGTCTGGGTGAGTATGTCTACAGTCTGTCTGTCTGCCCTGCTGGGCTGGTACCCTGCCTTGTGCCCATTGCTTTCTGCGATAGCCTCCAGCTCCCCCAATTAGATGAAGAGGTTAGAAAATGGATGAATGAAGAATGATACTAAATGCATGGGGATAGTTATCAGTACTAGATAGCATTTCAAGTCTGAATCTGTGAATCTGGTATATAAGATATTGTCAATTAAGTGTCACCATTGCCAATTACGTTCATTATGCAATCTTTGATGACCAAGTAACCAGTTGAGGTCAGCTTGGGTTTGGGGGATGTCCAGTAGCTGATCTTGGTCTACTCTGGAGGATGGCGTATCCTACAGATGACCGTACTGAGATAAACATTTTGTAACGAAACAGTTCTTTCCGAAATAGTGATGAAACACTGGGGAAAGAGTCATGCAGGAATACGGGGATGAAAACAGGGGGGCGTGTCCATGCAGTGCTGGTGATCCGGGGAGGTGTGGCCGAGGCTGACAATCCAATAGAAATCCAAAGGGGGAATCCAAAACGAAAGCAAAGGTCCATGGCCGTGTAATCCATCCAAAAACCAGGGATTAAAAACAGGTGCAGGGACCGGCATTGGGAACAGGAACAGGCGCAGGCGCGGGAAGCTAAAAACACAACGGAGCCAGGCACAACCAGGTCCCAGGCTCGCATGATGCGGAGATCAGATGCAGAGCCTTGAGTGAAGTGAGCGCCTGGCTTTTAAAGATGAACTAAAATGGGGTAGGAACAAGGAACAGGTGCGGGGAATGAGGCAAACGAGGAAGGGCTGGAGCACCCTTAAGAGGGGGGGTTTGTGATCGTGACACATTTGAGGGTCTGGTCCGGAGGGAAGAATCCACTGGTCCATCTGCTGGTCCACCAGCACCACTTACAATATTAACCTGCTTTTCTCAGATATCCTCCATCTGAATTTCATCCAGGCCTTGCCTTGCTGCTAGATGCAAAATCATCTTGCCTTTTTATTCTGACATTCAAGGCAGGTGGAAAGATATACTTTCTACAAAAACTATAGTATAAAACAGGAACAAGTAAAGGTTTATTCCATGCTGAAAAGAGACGCAATGTTTCGGCTGTGGAGCCTTCTTCTGGTGTGTGAGAGAGAGGAAAACTGGTGGCTGATAAAGCAGGGAGAACAACAGCCGGGAGTGGAGAGGAGGAGAGAGCAGGAGAGACGCAGTGGACACCCAGGTGGTGTGAAGTCAAGAGAGTGTTACGAGCACAGCCGGCATCAATTAATCCTCATTATCCAATCTCCTCTTCCTTCACTATTTAAACCCTCCGGTCACTCCTAGTCCTCGCTATCCGCTTCCTGAGCTTGCATCGTCCTCAAACCTCTGACCACCGACACCAAGACCCTTCTAGCCTTGACCTTTCAACTACCCTTTTGTCTCTCCCCTTTTCGGATTTGTTTGCCTTGCTGATCTCTCAACCCAGATTCGACCTCACCTGGAACACCTGACCACTCTGCTGGCCATCTGACCCTCTTAGAGACCTGCACAGGGTTCATAATAACTAGCTCACAACAGAGAGGTGAAGAGAGGTGTGAAGTCAAAACCTGCAAATGAATAGAGAGGATTAGAAGGAAACTAGTCTGTCATTGAGAAAAGGGGAAGGTGTGATCCTAGTTTCAGGCTAATTTTGGTTTCGGATGTCTTTCTGCAATAGCAGTTGAGAAACCTCTCTGTGAGAACACAGACAGAGAGATCAGTATGCTCATGGCCATTCGAGGTGAAATGAGAAACTATGGGCTTGGAGAGATCTTTAATCCTCACAGCCCTGACATGTTCTCTGAAGCGGTCCCCAAGTCTCCTTCCTGTTTCCCCAATGTACAATAGATAGCCGGGCATTTTCTGCAAGAGATGCAGTAAATAAGGTTCCTGGAGGTACAAGATGTCATCTGAGTGATCCGGAATTGTCCAGAGGGGCCTTGAATGAGCGTGGTATTGGATATATATTTACAGGTGATGCAGCCAGTCCTGTTGCAGGGGAAAGTGCCTTCTGCGTAAGATTGCAGAGGCAGTCAAGGGGCTGGTTTGAAGACAATATTGTCTCTATTGCGAGAGATTGGAGCACCTGAATTTTTCCTTAGGGGAGGTTAGACCTGTGCTTCCTGGGTATGGAAAGGGTCTTGGGGAGTTTGATTGTCGTATTGATTAAAGTAGTAATCTGCTGACAGAAAACATCTGGAAGTGGGAGCCTGACAGCTCTGTTTGGGATTAATTTTGTTCATGGCTTCTGTAACCTGGTTGTTATCAGCTGCCGGTAAAGACGAGTCACAGGAGTTGGATCCTGCAGTAAAAACAGTTGAGGTCAACTTGGGTCTGGGAGATGTCCAGCCCAGCGTATTTATAGTATAATATAGATTTTAATTTTGGTATCTTTTTTAATGCCAAAACTCATATACTTGAATCTTAAAAGGATTTGCTTTGACCAGGTTTGTTTTTTCATCATCTTTGCTTTTATCTTAAAAGCACACAGAACATATTTTTTGGAGACTGAGAAGACACTTGAAGGTGGAACAGAGGTGGCTATACCAGTAAATCCACATTCCTGGATCCCTGTTCGTAAGCATGTACAGTATTCAATTGTTAAGCAACAGCAGTTCGTCTTTAGCTTTAATCTTTCAGTGTCACATAGCTCCCTCTTGTGGTTAAGGGCTCCCATAGGTAGGTGATTCCATTCAAGACTCACAATGGCTCATTAGCTAGAGACTAATGAGCACACATTGGAGCACACATCCAGCTACACATATCTCGGTCTCCCCATCAGCTCATCTGGGAGTTTTGACCTGGCAGTGAAGGCCCTGAGTGAGAAGGCACTCAGGGCTTTCTACGCAATAAGATTCTATGCAATATGATATGTCTTTGTTGTAAATGTCTGTAATATGTCTGTAGATTTTATTTTTTGTTTTGTTTGATGTTAATTTCATTATTTTTATTTTCTTTGGCAACACTGTTGGACTTCATTTAAGGGACAGTACAACAGCAAAACCAACCCACCAGCTAAGAGTCCAGTGACTTGGCAACTCTGCTATGCTGTCCCCTAACAGCCCTCACACTATAATGTAATTACGTGAAAAAACATTGGCCAAGTCTTTGATGAGTGTGACAGTCACAGTTCCGCGCGGGGTCCTGCCCCCCCCGCCCATTCCGTCCCCCACACCTGGGGCTCGAACCCGGGTCACTGGCATAATGCACCAGGGCACCAACCGCGTCTAAAAGAGACCTCCCCCAGCCCAGGCAGCTGAGGACCCTGCTACGCGCAGTGAGGGCGGTGACGTCACCACACTAGCTCCGCTACATGAGCAAACACTGTAGCGGTAGTAAATGACTCCTAGAAGCCTAGATACTATTCAAGGCTGGGCGAACACCGGGCAGATGTCCTTTAATGCAGACAAATGTACGGTTTTACATGCAAGTAGCAATAAATATCAAGTGTAAACACAAAACAGGAAGCACAGGAAACAGGAGGCTAATAGGTGTCTGGTCTATGTTGGTACAGTATTTACATATTCTAGACAATATGGGGAAACAATAAAATAGGGAAACAAAATGTTAGGATATATACAGCAGACAGTTACAGCAAAAGTGAAGAACGTAAATTAAGGGGTGTTATGTTAAAATAGCTTAACACCATTATTGTCAGCACATGATAGAAGAGATATTGCTGCTCTGGAAACCATCCAAAGACAGCATTCAGGGGCTTAAAGGAACTCACATACAGTTTATACTGTTTCCTTAGTGAATGGCAGTCTTTACCTTCCCATGCAAATTTGACTGATGGCATTTTAGCTGAGAGTTCCTCCCAAATAACTGCCAGGAACTGTACAGTATCTCAAAATCTTAAATCTTAAATTTTAACACATTGTACTCATTACCAGTAGCAGCCTACACTACCTGGCTGATCCTGTTTAGCCAGGGATGTCAGGGTGGCGGGAGTGGGGTTGCAACGGGAGTGGGCCGATGAGCTGACTGGTGCTTGACGGGGGTGTTAATCTCATGTGGTCTAGCACGAAGGTGATCACCGGAAGAGCAGTGTGGTGGTCCTGTAACTAAGGATCTGTGCCTGTGGCTGGAAGGTTGCCAGTTCGTATCCTGCAGCCGGCAGAGGAATCCTACTCCATTGGGCCCCTAAGCAAGGGTCTTCACCCCAACTGCTCCAGGGGTGCTGTATAAATGGCAGACCCTGTGCTCTGACCCCCAGCTTCTCTCCCTGTCTGTGTGTCTCATGGAGAGCAAGCTGGGGTACTGTATGTGAAAATATGAAATTCTTATGCAGGAAATTATATCTGGCCAATAAAGTAATCTTATTTTGTTTTTGTTTTTAATACATTTCAATACCTTTTTTATGTTTTAATGTGTAGAAGGTAAAATAAAATCTACAAAAGGTTGAAGGAAATTCATAGCCATGTTCATGATCACATTAATGATAGGCACTTTTACAGATAAATTGTTTATTTTTCTAAAACAGCTATTCACAATAGAGTAGAAAATATAACAGTAAATCAATTTGCATCACATAGTAATTAAAATACATACAGTATTTGTCAGCTCAATTTTAGGAATTGAGTTCACATTCTATTAGTGATTTACAGATTTAGATTGCAGATCAGTATCAGAAATGTATAAGCTTAGGAAATAATGAAGGTGATCAAAAGAACATAACGAAGGTTATGAATGAGAGGCGGCCTTTCAGCTCACCTAGCCTGTTTGATAGTTAGTAGTTACTTAAATTGATTCAAGGATCTCATCCACCTGTTCAGGGTCATAACTGGGTAGCTTGTCCAATACTCCCACAATCCTACTCTAAAGAAATGACAATAAAGAAGAGAATAAAAATCCACAACTTCATATCTGGGACAAATATCTTCACTAAGATATGTTTCTCATTTCCGACTCTCAGGATGCTGTAAAAATCAACCCATGGGCATACAATTCTGGGATTTCTAATACTGACATACAAAAGCAATTGAGTACATCAAATGCTCCTGTGTAGCTACTGTAATATTTAAATTGCTTTGGCTTTATAAATAGAGCCCCTTCGTGAGTTACAAAACAGGTGTTAAAATATGTTGTCACTACAAGAAGAAGTGTCAGTTACAATCAAAAGCACTGTCAGACACACTCGCTTTCAATGCTTATCCAGCCCAGTGGCACAAGGCAGGATACACCATCACTCCTGGGCTGTTTCTTACAGAAGCCAGTTAACCTACCAGTATGGCTTTTGGACTGTGGGAGGAACCCAGAGCACCCAGAGGAGCCCCCATGAACACAGGGGAAGAATGCAAACCCCACACAGACAGCCCCCTCAGGAAGTGCTTTGCTCTCTGTGCGAGGCAGTAATGTTAACCACTGTGCCATCATGCCATCCCCACTGTCTTTAAAGCTGTACTTGATTTATTCTGATATTACATTCTGGTACTCTGTATTGTGTAAAAAATGAACAATGTTTTTGTATTGAAGGTCACTCTTGTCATTCTCTCTTTGTTGATTATTGTTCATGTACTCATGCTCAAGACAAGCCTTGTTCTGCACATTGGTATAACATTGGTTTTTCTCTTTGTCTTTCAGATTTTCATATTCAGGCAGGCTTTCTGCAGTGACTACATTACCATACTCCTGTGTTGTCCCATGAAGATAAAACAGCTCAGGATGTGTATCTGACAGTTGTGTTGTGTAGACAAACTGTAAGATATACCCCTGGCTACAGATTTCTTGATGTAAAGGGTATCCAAAATCACAGGTATCCAAATCATCAGTGCTCCACACTTTCTGCTGTAATGGTGTTCTGAACTGTTGGGTAACTGGGCAGAAAACATATTCATTTGTTTGCAATTTTGAGCCATCTTGATAACTGTCTGAAATTTCAGGAATTTCTTTTGAGTCAGTTTTTGATTTATTCATTAGCATTTGACGTTCTTCAATGACCTGCAAATATAAATTTTAAAATTTCATTGAATATTTGGAAAATTCTAGCATACAGTACATATTGTTTTGATTTTTTTTCACATAGTAAAAATATATTTGGTTTAGTAATTAACTTGGCCACAAAGAATTGGTTACAAAGGGTTTGACCCTTAGTGTGTTAACATGAATATATTTTATATGAATATTTTCTCATTTGATTTATTTGATGTCTTCAATATCAAATCATAAATTGTTAAAGATTTTAAATCATTTGCAGTATATAAATGTCCCTTCAGGATATAATAACAGTTAATACATTATTTTAAATCTTTTCCTTTTCTATAGTTGAAATAATAATTGCTTAAATAATCTCCAGATCTATAATGGAATTCTTTTCTATAGACTTTAGCACTGCGAAAGGCAAGCCTTTTCTTTCTGCCATAGGGATTGTACTGTCCGGAATGCAGCAGCTCCATGTTACTCACCAGGCTTGGGGGCAAAGTCACTTTGGGTCTATATATCAATTTGTAGCACAAAATAAGGAGAACCCAGCCGAAAGCCATGAACAGAATCGCAAATAAACCCAGAGTGATGTGTGAGACCAAAGTCATAGGGTGTGGCTCAGCTGGAATACAGAACATTTTGCAAAAAAGAAAAACAAGAGACTTTCAATGACATATCCAGTAGTTAGCAGTTGCAGTCAGCAGATGTACAGAATATCCCGAAGCAGAGAAAAAGAAAGGAAAGGAAATTCTGAACTTGAAAGCTTTTTGAATTAAAAAGATTTGTTAAAGATTTTCTGTTCCAGAAAGATTTTTGCATTTTTTAACAAAATTTAGTGAAATAAAGCCATTACATTTTACAACCTTTTTGATATCACTGGGGAATAATAATCATCATCATCGACATCACGCTAACATGATGCACCAGCAAACAATTAGCAATGCTTTGTGGCTTTAAAATACATAAATAAAGCTGTTCCAGTCATGCCAGATAATGAATGTTAAATTTTCATTTTAAAACACACATTCATGCATGCAGTACTGTACTGTACCTACAGTATTGCAATGTTAACAGAGATCTAATGTTCATGGATACAGAATGTACTTTATTAATTCGAGTAATCACAGTACATGAAGGAAGACGATAGACCAGCCTGCACAGGGCCCACTGCTATTAAGGAAGGCTTTAAGGACGAGACATGCCCAATGCATGTCCCTGCGTTCCCATCTCCATGTTACAATCCTGTGTGATATTGGCTGGAATGCTCATGGCAAAAGTGAAAAAAAAAAAACAATTCATTTTGTGGATTTGGAACATGAGCAATATTTAAACTGTGGTCTTGAGTGGACTGTAAGTTAAAATAATGATTAAACACATACAGTACAAAATGGGAAAAGGCAAGATCAGTTGCACACTCTTGTTATAGAGCAGGGTGCTCTGTCATGCTTGTCAATACTCAATATTGGGAAATGGCCTTACCATCAGGAGCCTTCAGGGTGATACAATAGCTATCGCTTGCCTTGGATTTTCTCCATTTATAAGTATTCAAAGTGTATCGCATTGTGCCCGAAATACAATACTCTTTCTCAGGGTCCAAGTCAGTGATTTGTATGGTATTATTTTCAGTTATTATCTGATGAACCTGAAACAAAGTTCCATCTTTGTATTTAATAAAAACAGCAAACAAAGAACAATTTGCCTTAAATAATAAGCACATCCTTTCACAATACTAACCTATGATCACTTTCAAATGTTAGATAGCCTAAGTAATAACTTAAGCATTGGCCCTATGAAAAGACCCAGAAAAATAAAGCGTTTTCATGAAATCTCTATTTCGTCACTTTCTTCAAAAAACAGAAACACTACACACAGTTACTATTGACCTGGGACTTTACTATTGGAGATTTCATGTGTCATAATAAAATGTGTATTAATAGCAAAATAACATTTTCATTGATCATTGATTAAAATAAGACAATACAGTGGAACTCTCCCTTGTACCATATACTATATTATATTACATATAATATAGAATTTATATGTAAATATTTAATATATTTAACATATATTTAAAATATACACATAATATTTATTCTCTTACCAATGTGCCATTCAGTTTAACATCAATTGTGAATGTTAACCTTTTGCTCTGAAAGGGTGGAGTTATATTTATCTGCAAAATGTATTTTTCTCCAGTTAGCGTAAGCTGTGGGGGATCAATTGCCACTAAAGGAAATATAAAAAAAAACACTTAACAACATACACATACGTTACTTACACAATACTAAGTGATCCAATGTACTGTACTAGTCAATTAATTATGGAATATTCAACAAATATCCCAAAATCCATGATTATACTGTAAATGAATTCCACTCACTCTGTTAAAGGGCTATCACACAGATCATTTTTACATATTATTGCATATACTGTAGCTAATCCTACATCGGTTGTATTGAGAACTTTTAACAGGCCTTTTGAAACTTTTATTATAGTTCTGTTGCATAGTGCAATCCTAACACAGTACCGGTTTGATCACCAGTAGCTTATGGTAGATGATAGTGTCTTTCAGCCATTCAATACTGGTTAAATAAAGATGTGGGACTTTTGGATTTCATACAATACACAGCTAATACACAAAAGCAAGATATTCAGTTGTTCTTCTCAATACTAGTGGGCTCTGCAACCACTGGATGAATCTATGAACTGTACAAAAACTATATTTACATAATGTGTATTCATATGAATTGAGTAAATTAAGGAGAAACAATTCACACTTACTTTCTTTAAATGGAATGAACTGTTTGGTTTCCACCCATGCTGAAGAAATATGGTAATGTATTGCTTGCACACGTCCATAATACATGCTTTGCAAGTGCATTGTTTCTGTTGTCAGATCACAAGTGGTTCTAGAGATACCCTGACATTCCTCTTTGGACATCCATTGGTGACCATATCTAAAGATCAATACATATAACAAACTGTTGCTTTAGTTCTAAAAGTGCTCCTGTAATCTAAAGTGCAGGGTTTTAATTTTTATCTTTTTTTTTTCCAGAAAGAAGAAGCTCATAGTGCAAATAACAAATGGAATATTTGTACAGCTTTACATGTAAGAAGAACAAAGAACATGCAGATCAATGAGGAAACACCCAAGCAGTAAGTTTGTTTAAATATACAGTATTTGTCAGTTAAAAAAAACTCACATTTTATACTCCACATTATACAGAACAGTGTAATTACTTTCAGATGCTGGTTGCCATTGTAAAATGCTTTTCAGGTTTCTATTTGAAAATGTAACATGATCAGGCTTTAAAGAGTCTTCAGTTGGTGAAGCACCTAGAGGGAACACAATACATTTTAACAAGTAAAAAACTCATTAACTGTATATGGTAAAACATATGTATATAGGATAGCATATACTTATGATAACAATGTTTAAAAGTAATCCAATACTGTTCCTAGTGCGGCAGTCTGGAGTCCTGAAACTATGGGATGCAAGGATGGATTTACAGATTTAACTCTGTATAGGATTTCCGGTTCTCGCAGATAAATAAAACCTAGTCAAGAAATTGGTCTTTAAGTATCTGAATTAAACATTTAACCTGATCCAAACAACAGAAAATAATATACTTAAAATCTTATAAATATATTATATAAAATGTTTTTAATGTTCAGTATAAGCATAACAAAATATTTTTCTGTTCAAATAATAGTTTTCACCATTGTTAATAGTTCAGTGAAAACAACAGATATGAGATACATACAGTAAATATTTACTTTACTTAATTTTGATTTAAGGATAATGGCTACTCACCAAGTTCTCTGAGAATAACAATCAGTGTTAAACAATGCAGAAACATATTTGTCTTCACACTATGCCTTGATTTACAGAATCTCTAAATGCCGCATTTTGGTGGTACTGTATATATGTAGTATTTTCGTACTGTCTAGAAGTTCCTCAATTCTTTTATTCGACCAATCGAATTCCCTCATCCTCCTCCTCTCTGTGCCAAAATGATTTGCATAATAAACCTAATAAACAAGTGAACATTTCTGCTTTCTGATTCTTTCTGTTGATATGCTTCCCTAGTAAAAGAAAAGAAATCTATATTCCTGTCATCTCACTCTTTGCTTTGAACATTTTGTAGCATGAATCAATTAAATTAAAACATATGCTTCTTAATATTTGAAAGTCATTTCAGTTTATTTCTACAGTTGTTTGAACAAATTTGTTTTGTTAGTAAAAATGGAGGGAGATTTTGTTGCAATCTGCAGTAATCCTTCAGGAAAGATAAGATGTTCATATTTAAAATACATTACACAAAAGTCAAAATACATCTGGGCAAACTTCTACAGTAAAAGAGAAGCAATGATGATGATGCTGCTGCTGCAGCTGCTGCTACTGCTGCTGATGATGATGGAAATCTTGTCCTATTTTGTCCTAAGCTAGAGAAAAAATGTTTCTTATATGACCAAAATTAAGTACTTTGTTGAGCTGAAGTAATAACTTTCAGCTGTTTTGTGTGTCATGATGCTGTGGCTTTCATGTTAAACACTTCTCATTACAAAAACAGTTATCTTCCTCTTTACAGAGAAGAATGTAGAAGTACCAGAAGAACAGAGCTTCCTCTGTATGGATGCAGGTGACAGAAAAAGGGAAGATTCACGGGATCATATATCAATAAAAGTCCCCTAGCCACAAATTCAATTATTCTCTCCATTGTTTTGAATTTCTTAAAAATTGGTCATAAATAGAACTTGAACTTGAACTTGAACTTTATTGCAATATGTAACCGGTACTGGTACAATGGAATTCTTACTTACAGAAAGTCTCTCGATTATAAAACAAGTGTAAAAAACAAAACAAAGTGCAAACAGTGCATCAAGACAATGTACAAACAAACAATAGACAATGTGCAAGTAAACATGCAGACAGTTTGAATGTAAACAATACAGACGTGTAAACAATGACTGGAGACGTACAATTAATAAATTACAACGAGGTAGATGGTGATGGTGTAGGTGTGGTCCGAGGGGGATGGCTAAATGTGTTCGCCAGTCTCACTGCTTGTGGATAGAAGCTATTGAAGAATCTAGTGGTAAGTGTCCGTATGCTCTTATATCTCTTGCCTGAGGGCAGTGGGGTGAAGAGCTCATGCCCTGGGTGGTGACTGTCCTCTGTGATGGCCAGAATTCTACCACGGCAGCGGTCCTCATAGAGCTGTTTAATCTCGGTGAGACCGCAGCCGATGATCTTCTGGGCCATATTGACCATTCTCTGCAGTGCCTTTCTTTCTCGCGAAGAGGTGTTGCCATACCACACGGTGATCCCGTTGGTGAGGACGCTCTCGATAGTGCAGCGATAGAAGTTCACCAACACATGTATTGGCATCCCCCATCGCTTGAGGCACCTCAAGAAATAAAGGCGCTGCTGAGCCTTCTTCATGATAGAGTCAGTGTTCACAGTCCAGGTTAGATCTTTAGAGATGTGAATTCCCAAAAACCTAAAGCTGGTGACTGTTTCCACTTCCGTTCCATCAATACTTAGTGGGCTGTGAGTGTGTGGCCTGTGTCTCTGAAAGTCCACTATTAGCTCTTTCGTTTTCTTTATGTTCAAGTCCAGGTTATTGCTATGACACCACCTAAGCAGCTGTACAACTTCATCCCTGTAAGTGGACTCGTCATCATCACTGATCAGTCCTATTATAGTGGTGTCATCGGCAAACTTGATGATGCGGTTATTGCTGTGTCTTGCTGTGCAGTCGTGAGTAAATAGGGAGTACAACCTTGGACTCAGACAGCAGCCTTGTGGGGTTCCAGTGCTCAGGGTGAGTGGTGTTGATGTTTTATTGCCTATCCGCACCACCTGTGGTCTCTCGATAAGAAAGTCCAGCAGCCAGTTGCAGACAGAGTTGCACAGACCTAATCCCCTGAGCTTTGTCACCAGTTGACAGGGTATGATGGAATTAAATGCTGAACTGTAGTCCACAAACAGCATTCTCACATACGAGTTCTTAGTGTCCAGGTGTTCCAAGGCTGTATGCAGAGCCAGGGAGACAGCATCATCCACTGATCTGTTGTTCTGGTAGGCGAACTGCAGGGGGTCCAGGGACTCTGTGATGGAGGAGTTGATGTGTGACAACACCAGCTTCTCCAGGCATTTCATCACCACAGATGTTAATGCTACTGGGCGGTAATCATTCAGGCATGTCACTTTTGTCTTTTTGGGGGTTGGAACAATAGTGTTTTTTTTAAAGCAGGTGGGGACCATGGACTGTGACAGGGAGGAGTTAAAGATGTCTGTAAACACTGTGGTCAGCTGGGCTGCACATGTCCTCAGGACGCGAGGTGGTATCCCATCAGGCCCTGCAGCCTTACGGATTTTCACCCGTAGAATAGATATTATGATTTCATTTGCCAAACCGCTTTATACCATACTGTGTCGCAGGAAGCTGGAGCCTACCGGGCAGGCAATGAGCGCAAGGCAGGGTACACCCTGGGCAGGACGCCAGTGGACTGCCAGTTGAGAGCTGAAGGGGGCTAATAGCTGCTGGCTTATTGGTATTGTCTTTATTAAAAATAAATAAATGATGAAATGGAAAGACAAACTAACTTTAAGATAATGTATTACTTTAAGATAATATTATATAAAAGAAAGTTGATTATTATCACAATAATAAATGTAATTCTTGAACTGTACCAATTGTTTAATCTACTATTATTTCAACCATCTGTAGTTAATATGATCATGTTATGGCCTGAAATGCCAGTCAACAATGTTTTATCCAACAGTTAAGTTATTGTTTTTTGTATCTGGGTGGCAGCAATGTAGAAGCCCCGCTGTCTAATTTTGAGATGATTAATTTCTGGAGTTTGTATGCTGGACATAGGCAGAGACTTTTTAAACTTGTGTGGCTAGAGGTCCTCTTTTTAAGACATCCCTCTTACACACAATTATGGAAAAGAAATACAACAATCACTGGAAAGTGCATTTAAAACGGAGAACAGGAGGTCTGTACACTGCGGGGTACAGGAGTGTGGAACAAGCCAGCTATGCTGTTGAAGCAAATAACCTGGCTTCCTTCAAGAAACATCAGGATAAGACAATACAATCATTCGCTGTGTGGTACATCGGTATTCTATTCTAGGAACTAATAGTAAAGCCTCGATGTGTTTGTTCGGACTATTTTGAAGGAAGCACCACTTCCTGTGTAGATATGCATTGTTGAATATTGGATCTGTAATTTTGTTAAGCAGGAAAAAAACATCGTGATGTATTTGCATGACAGGGAAACTTTTATATTTTCAGATTCCTAGGACGAATATTTTAGAGAAATGGCCATACCAATGGAAACCCAGCTCCAAAGCATTTTTGAAGACGTTGTGGTACGATTTCCTTTGTTAAATTTCACGTTCACCAAATCGAAGATTTTTAATTGTCTTTATTTGCTTTCTTAAAGTGCTTTTAATTTCTGTTTTACTTTGATTTTTCCTTATAACATCTTTTAATATTATTTTCTTAAAATTTGTTTCCGGTAGCATTGTGGTTGTATCTTTCCTGAGTGGTAATTCATGAGCTCGATACTTTCATAACAGAATTGATGCAGATCCTGCAGAGAAATGAAAGGCGATTGTTTCGTATTTGACATTAAAATTAATATTTAAACCTAAACTTAAATGCAACTCAAAGTTATTTTGTCGTACAATTCTACATTTAAACTTCTCACTTTATGACTTTTTCTTTTTAGAAAACGGAGTTCATAGAAGAAGCATTTGCTGGGTAAGCACTTTATACAGCTACTTTTATAAATCTAGCGCTTGTATTTGCAATAATTTATACTTTTGTACTATGTTATCACTATCTGTGGCTGAAAAGGTGATCAATACATTTGTCTTCTCCCAAATTGATTACTCGCTGGGGTATCTAAATCTACATTGAACAAACTGCGGTATGTCCAAAATTCGGCAGCCAGAATCCTGAACAGGTCTAGTGAAAGTGTTCAAATTACTCCTATCCTGGAGTCCTTGCACTGGCTTCCTGTCAAATTCCATGTGGACTTTAAAATCCTCATGCTCAGCTACAAGGCTCTGCATGGCTTGGCACCTCAGTACCTGTCTGAAGTATTATCGCCCTACCCCCCACCTCGCAACCTTCGCTCTTCTAATTCTGCTCTCCTTACTGTCTCCCAAGTCCATCTACACTCTATGGGTGACAGGGCCTTCTCTTGTTATGCCCCCAAGCTCTGGAACTCTCTCCCAAAGGATATCAGAGTCACCTTCTCTAAACTCCCTCAAATCCAGACTCAAAACCTTTTTCTTTAGAAGAGCTTTACTTAACTGGTTCCATTCTTCACCCCTTTGCTTTTCTTAGTACCACCATTCATGGTCTCTTCTGTGTGTTGTAATTGTGCTTTGTCTTGTGTATTCTTTTTATTTATTGTTGTTGTCATTCTGTAAAGTGCTTTGAGAAGCCACCTTTAAAGGCGCTATATAAAATAAAGTTACAAGTAATAGGTTTATTCCATGCTGAAATAAAGAAGAGAGAAAACACAACATTTCGCCCGTGGAGCCTTCTTCAGGTGTGTGAAGAAGAAGGCTCCTTCACACCTGAAGAAGGCTCCACGGCCGAAATGTTGTGTTTTCTCTCTTCTTTTTTTCAGCATGGAATAAACCTATTACTTGTTCCTTTGCAGCCTACGCATGCTGACGCAGCTACCCACCTGAACTATGAAATAAAGTTTATTATTATTATTTTCTGGAACTGTGTACCTTGGTTAATAGATTTTTATGGGAACATGAATGAATTAGAACCTCATGTAGTTGTATTAAAAGACGTGTTATGAGTGTAAATATACACAAAACCAGATAAGCATGCATTGGTTTTGTGAGTTTTATCTATATTTGAAGATAGTTTCTGCTGCATTCATTTTCCTATGAATTCAAAGTTGTTAGCTAATTATAGCTCTGTGATCATGTATAAAATAAAAACGGAAATCTTAATTAAAACCAATTCTAGCATTGCAATGATACAAAGATTAGTTCAATAACAGGAAGAACAGTAAAAAAATAAGGCTTCTCATATGAAAGCATGATAGAGTATTTCTACCTTCATATCTCAGGAGGATCTCCCTCTTTCATTGTGGGGGAATTCAAATGGAAATGGCTGATGTGTTTTGAAGCCATAAGCTTGTAGTTCAGCACCTTTTTTTATTGTATAAATAATCAAGGGGATAGACCCCTCATAAATATGACTCCAGAAAGGGAGCATTCCAAATCACTGCAACAGAAAAAAACCTGTTGTACAACAAGCTTCGAGCATTTTGGCTTCTGTTGATATTAGGCACTGTAAAATTGTATTCCTTAAAGAATGCGTTTAAATATTGTACTTTTCATATTAAAACTATTTTTAGTTCATTTTTAGTTCAGATGGGTACAGTATCTGTGTCAGCATGCGTAGGCTGCAAAGGAACAAGTAAAGGTTTATTCCATGCAGAAAAGAGAAGAAAGCACAGTGTTTCGGCTGTGGAACCTTCTTCGGGTGTAAACATTTTTAGTCTGTGAGCTCAAAATGTAAGCCAAATGTTTTGTTACAGGTTGTCATTGTTCCCAGTCCTTTTTTTTGCAATTTGCAATGCAAAGTGACTCTTCCACAGTGAAACATTGCAGCTTCAATTTCTTACAGTATGTTTATGGACAATCCAGAAGATGAGCAAACAAAGCTGGTCAGCTGTCTTGGTGCCTTTCGGCAGTACTGGAGCACTCTTCCCCAGGTGAGACATAACCTGGAGCTGAATGGCTGCCTGTCTTTCTCATACAGTATCTCTGATTATTTGCTGAACACTATTATATATAAAATGGTTTATCTTTGCGTACAATTTCATTTTTAAAGTGGGGACATGTAGTTTTACCACCAGAGGAAATAAGCAGTGTTATATAATGGCCACAATTTTAAATGAGCTAGTGTATCAGGACTGTGAAATATCTCTGCTGTAACAGCGTGTCTAGAACAAAGAAGATTTGTGTTGGATGAAGAATCGCACAGTCAGTCCCCAGTCTGATCAGTACTTCTTCCTAAATCGCTCATTATTGGTTCTCTGTGGAACACTGGGATTGCGCATGGATCCCAGTTAGGTTTTGGAAAGTACAGTTATTTTTCTGAACCTTGGATGTGCTAACATTCTTCTTACAGGATTCCCACGACCAGTGTGTACAGTGGATTGTGCGATTCATTCATGGCCAGCACAGCCCCAAGAGGATCTCGTTCCTTTATGACTGCCTGGCCAAGGCGGTGGAGACCAGCCTTTTACCTCCAAGGTAAGGAAGCAGGGGAGAGTTTGTCGTTGTTAAAATTAAAATGTGAAATATTTTGTAGGATTAGAAGCAAACTAATTTAGAAGAATTTAGAAATTTAGAAATTTTGCACCTATCAATATTTTTGCAATATTTATTAAAACTGTAGTTCTAAAGAAATCGTACATAATGTTTACAGGTATCACTCGGGCATCTTTGAAGGCTAGGTGGTGCCACCAGTCAAAAGGAACTGGAAAGAACATGGTCTTTCCATGTGAACTGGAGAAGAGATCTGAACCCAACCAGCTCTGATCTTCTTTAAAAAAGTTATTTTTAGTAGCATGCAGTATTGTAAATTTTAGGTGGCTGATTTGTCTATAATAAAAATTCTCAATGACCAAACAGTGTTACTAGTATAGATAGGTGTAATGGTTAAGCCTGTGTCCTTAGGGACATGTTAGACTTATTCCTTGATCACATGCATTGCACTGTGCATTATTGACATACCTGAACTAAACATTTTGCTGGTCAGTTTTACATGTTGTCACAACAAGGTGAATCGAATGTCTTTTTTTGTAAATGTTATGTAGCCTATGACCACTAAATGGTGGGACATTCAATTTGTTGATCATATCGCCTTGTTGAAGTGCAATATTTGCTGTGGGTACATCATCAAATATTGTATTTTAATACTTGGTTGAGGTAGAAGAGCTGTTTTTGTCAGAGCAAGTTAAAACCAGAATCTTCATTGAGCAGAGACTTTCCTGTTGTAAATTATTGAGCTTTTCTCAAGATTCTGGGAAAGTATCTTGTCACTCTTTCCTGGAATTGATTCTACAGTAACCATATAGTTAATGTCATTAATGGGTGAAGGCTTTTCAGTGCCTTAATAAGCTCTCAAACATGTTTGTTGAATTATATGTAATTTGAGTTGACTGATACCTGTGTTCTTTTCTTTCAGGATGGTGTGTGAAGCTCTGATAAACTCTGACAGTCTAGAATGGGAACGCACACAACTCTGGGCCTTAACATTCAGACTTATTCGTAAAATAATTGGTGGTGTTGATTATAAGGTATTGTGTGACGTTATTGATTCTTTTCACATTTTCTCTGCAAAGCACGGGGTGTATACGAGAAAAGTTAAAATGTTCTTAAGGGCTGGGTTCTGTTACAGTGCCTGTATTTGTGTTAATTATACATGTATACAATGCTGTCTGACTGAAGTGGGACAGCTAAGTCAATTTCTAGTTTGTGGCTGTACATCTGCAATCATGATTTTAATATGAATGAAATGCATGAAGTAAAACACATTTTATTTTCGGGTAATCACATACATACATTTGACCCATATTTTATGGTTGAATCAGCAGTTTGAAGTGACTGTAAGTGATGAGATGCATTCACATTAAGTGAATTTCAGAGTGTTAAAGTCAGTGACTCTTTGAGCTTGCCAGTCCGAGATGCTTTGCTGTAACTGCTTTGAGTTCATGTCTAATCTTGGTGACTTGTGACTTCGGTTTTCTCTTCAGATTGTAAAATACATGCTCATTTGGAGTTAAATCTGGTGACTGCTGAGCTAGTGTAAGTTGGTCCAGTTTTGAACTGCTAGGTTGTATTAGTCAGATCTTTGGATCTTTGTCATACTGCATGGTAAAGCACAACCCAATAAGTATGGAAGCATTTTCATCTATATAAGTAGGCAAAGAATTTCTTTGAACATGAGAGTACATTTTCCTTCCGCTGTCATGAGTTACTTCATCAATCGATGAGTGAGCCAGCTCCAGAGGCAGCTGTGGACATGGTTTGAAGAAGTAAAGATCACTCCTCCAGCACTGAACACACTTTACACTGAACACTTCTATCTCAAACGTTTAAGGACAGATGTGAGGTTGCAGGCAGAACGAAACTTAAAAGTCATAAAGTTAATAAAAACCAGCATTTGAGATTTGATCTTGATTTTCTAAATGTCTTCTAAATATACATATTCTTTGATATGTATTTTTTACTGCCTTTTATTTTTTTTTATTTTAATCTTCTTTTCAATATTTCTTAAGAATTTTAAATTCCTGGTGCTTTCTTCCAGGGAGTGCGAGATCTCTTAAAAGCTTTACTGGAGAAGATCCAGTCTATTCCCAACACTGTGAGCTCTGCAGTCGTTCAGCAGCTTTTAACAGCTCGAGAAGTAAGCCTTTTCCCTGATTAATGACTTCTGGAATGGTTTGTTTTTTTCCCTGTTGTATATTAATATATTGCAGTCTAATTGAAGAGGAAGGTAGCATCACTTAAAGACAGAGAGGTATCATCCTCAGCTCCTAATTGTCTTAAAGAATAATAATGGAGGGGCCCCAGGCACTATAAAGAGTTGATAGTAATTGGTTTGGGATCAACGTGTAACGTTTTCATGTTCTCATTTATCAGTGTTTTGTCAGAATAGATATCTAAAGAAAACAATTATGACAAAACATATCGTAATAGGTAGGCTGAAGGTAGCTCATGTGTGCTCACTGTTTGTTTGAAGGTTGTGGAGTACATCTTGGATCGAAATGCCTGTCTGTTGCCAGCGTACTTTGCTGTTACAGAGATCCGAAAGCTGTATCCCGAAGGGAAGCTGTCACACTGGGTATGTTAGCTTTGTGGTGTCTTTCAACTCCATGTGCATTTGAGATGCATTAGCTTTTCACGATTAGTCAAATACATTTTAAAAAACCTTCTGAATAACTTAAAACTGAACGTTATTAGACAGATTGCTTATCACCTGTTGGTGATGTGAATGTGGTTCACTATCTACTTACATTTTGTCGTTTGTATAAAACGACTCGAGTATTAACAGACCGATCTTCAGGAACCTGCCAGAAGCTTCAGCCAATCTTCTCTGGTTTAAAACAGAGGGTTTAGAGTAACTTTGCAACTTGAGGCAAATTTAATCAAGATTTGTTTGTATTTTAGCTGCTGGGAAGTCTCATATCAGATTTTGTTGATAGCTTCAGAGCAACTGCAAGAATAAACTCTATTTGTGGTAAGTGCACGATCCTTTTACTAAAAGTAATCTGATAACCTAGTACAGGTTTTATTATACAGTAGTTTTTAGGTCACATATGCATTATATACCATTATGTGGTATGTCTTATGGACATGTTATAGTAGGACAGTGTTATGGTGCATGATGAAGACAACCTAGCTGATCAGCAGTACATTGACAAAGTCTTTGATCCAACAGTTCTTTAGTTCCAGCAGGCCAATTTGAAATTTTTTTAGTTACTGGTTTTTCAGTGGCACCACTTTAGGAAAATAAATTGGAGCTTTTTCTGCTACCCTGAGTCCAGCAGAACATACATGGGGACCAGTGTGGTAAAAGCTTCAACAGGAGAGAAGTACGACTAGCTGACACTGGCCAGATGTTTACAGCTGCATGGGAAGACTGACATCCCATTGCAGCTGTCCAGCTGTTGAGCAAGTCTCTGCCTCTGCGCTGTTCGGGTTGTTAGTGCTCAGGGAGGTCGTGTCTGGTGTTGCAGTTGTTGGTGCTCAGGGATGTTGGGTTTTGGTGTTGGGGTTGTTAGTGCTAGATTTTCCTTATTTTCTTTAATATCTGTATGTTTGAATATCTGAATAAATCCATTAGATGTGGTATTTCTTATGATTATATGTGCAACTCAATGTTTTGTACTAGTTGTATAATCTCGGAAAAATAGAAGGAATATTTTGAATTTGCTTAAAAACTATCCCATAATATTATAATAAATATACTGTGTGTAGCTCATTGTCCCAGCACTGGAAAATGTTTTAATTACTCTACAATAGATAAAAATGACAACCACCCGCCTTTACAAACCTGCAAGTGCCAAAGCTGTAGAATATTGTGTAAATAATTTTCCCCGAGATTAGATTCTTATTTCTAGACACTTGGATCCTGTTTTTGTCTTCAGCCCAGAGAATCGTTCTGTTTCAATCCTCGTCCTGTTGAGACGCAGTGTGTAATCTCTCGGCTTGTTTGATCACCAGGAAGGTGCAGCCTGCTCCCTGTGGTGAACAACTCCGGGGCGATCTGCAACTCCTGGAAGTTAGACCCCACGACGCTCCGATTTCCCCTGAAAGGCCTTCTGCCCTATGATAAGGTACCGGCACGACTGAGCTGATGTCAAGTTCTTCTTATTTCGTGGATCGGATTATTGAAGGTTCTTGGAACGACACGAAACAATTCAGTGAAAGTTTCCTGTTCAATGTTTTTCTCCTGTTCCAACTGTTTTGCTGCGTAAAAGTTTCCTGTGTGACGCCGCTCTTCACGTCTGGCTGTTCCCATGTGCTTCCCTCACAGGACCTGTTCGAGCCTCAGACCGGCTTGTTAAGATACGTGCTGGAGCAGCCTTATTCCAGAGATATGGTGTGCAACATGTTAGGTCTCAACAAGCAGGTACTGTACTTGGCCTTCGAACCCTTTCCTCGAAAGAACCTGTACTTTTTTTCTTTTCTCTTTTCTTTGGCTGTGGCTAACTAAGCAGATTTGGTTGCTTGTTTGAGTAGACATTTTGTGAAGTAATTGAGAAGGATAGTTTAGAAATACAATCCTTTGCTTGAGGATCTCTTTTTTGTAGCATATTTAAGTAGATTTGAGAATATATATTTTTTTAATTGGTTTGCATTGCTTTGTTTCTATAAGGCCAGCCTCCAATATACTCCCTGCCATACTAGCTCGAAAGAAACGCGTGCTTGTTGGGAACAGACACCAGCCTTGCAAAATAGAGTGTCATTGGCTATAGAGACACGTGAGCTCTGTCCTTCTATAACTAGCCTGACGGGGAGTATAGCTGCGTTGCCTGTTGTGGTTCTTATTTTTCTTTTGTGGAGCTTGGCCTGACATGGGGGGAATTTGAGGCTGGCCTCATAGTCACTGTTTTGTCTTTTCTTTTTTCTTCCTTTATTTTTGTTCTGTCCTGTCTTGTCCTGCCCATCCTCCAATGCTCTAGACCTTGAACATTGCTCAGGTATGTTCACAATCTTACTGTTGTATTGTGACTAACTAGACGCTTGGTAGCCACTGATTCCATCTAGACTGTTGAGATCTTGGGGGCTTGAAATTACTGTCGATGAGACGTTCGCTTGGCCAGTGCCTGGCAGGTGTAATTCGATTGGTCAGTGCTGTTTTTTATAAAAGATATAAGATGTGAAGAGTACATCTGTAACAGCAAAGGCTGCAGCTTAAGGAGTTGATGCATCTGAGAACAAATACAGATTGGATATTTTCGTTTTCTTCTGATGTAGCTGCTTTTGAAGTAAGAGCTATAGACCCCAGCTCCTGAATTATCCAGCTGCTTTTATTTAAGAAGGCGTAACTGGATAATATTCAGTTCTTTTAAACTGGAAGGTTGTTCATAAGTGATTATATTCCTTTAGTCCCCTGAAGGGAAAAAGGCTTGATTTAGGCAGAGAATTTAATACCTGTTTTACTTGAGCACACACTAAGGCTGAAGAGAGATCATTTGCGAGGATGAGGATGATCAACCTAGGTCAGCAGTAGGTATCTCTTTACAAGTACATGTGGAAAAAGCACCTCTCTGCTGTTTATAGGTAATATTAACTTGGGCAGGGTGGGAAAGGAAAATCAGGAAACTGCCTAAAAAAGGGAGTCGGAGCTCCTCTTTCCCAGCCCCGGTGCCCGACAGGTCTGAAGAAAATCTAAGAGAGCTTAATTTATTTTTGTTTTCTTTCCTGTGCCCCAGGGTACTCTTGGAAAACAAATTGTTAGCACTTCCAGGTTATGTATTTTAGGTACTTTCCTTTATCCCGTTTTGCATTGCTCATGATGTTATAAGTATGCTCTTTGTTCTTTCTCAAGTTTTCTAATGAGGCCAATTTGTAGAAATGTATATAAGTTTGTAATGAATAAATTAATAATAAAGGAGAAGCAGCAAGCAGTGTATTTTCTAAGGGTAAGGTGTTGAGGGCTTTTGGGAGCGTGGGTACAGATTGATTTTCTGATGTTTTCGGAAGTAATGAGAGCATCATATTGGTGTGCAATGCAGAAATGTATTTCACAGGACAGTGTTCTAATAAGTGTAGATAACGCTTCCCTACTAAAAAGGCAATTTTGTTCACTTATCTTAGCCTTATGTGATGGTGTGGTTGTTTAAATTTGTTTAAAAGAGCAGCGTCCTCCCAACTAAAGAAGACTCTGCATCTAAAACATTCTTTCATCTCACTTTTCAGTGTAGAATTAACTTTAACTTATTCCTTTGCAACTGAAAATTACTTTGTGTTTCACTTTAGAAAGTTAATTAGAGACCAAATAAACTCCATCTGTTGATTGTATGAGCCCAACCCAATGCAATTGTGTGAGCTGTACAGGTTTTAAGATGCTTTTCTGCACTCCCATTGTATTATTCTCAGGTTCACTTCACATGCACTGGCCATCCCTAGTCCTGTTTGCTAGGACAGTGCCACTAGTGACAGAAATACTGCTGCAAGTTCCCTGGTGACTCACTGTCATCTGTGGAATCAGAAGGTTGTGTTTGGAATGTATTTGCTTGACTATAAGATAACTGTTAGAATCAATAAAAATTGTTCCTTGTGTTTTAGGTAATCTAGACACCCTCCCATTTATTCTTTGTTTTTCCTTTCGCTCACAAAGTATGAAACTCTTAAAATTCTGTGTGCTGTACCTTAACATTTTTTTATTTTACTTGTTTACCTGTTCCTTTATTGATTTGAGTCAACTTGATTAATTTCTAGTCCTGTGTGTTTCTGTTTTTCATTCAGTGGAGGCTTACACTGCACCCTGTATCCTATTTGAGTCAAGTTGTGAGAACAGTGGTCTCTGTCCCTGTACAGAAGGACTTGTGTGACTACTGGCTTGAGTTCCAGCTGAGTTCTTTTTGAGCCTAGTTGGTTCAGTTTCCCCAATTGAACTTTTGTAACCTGTTTGTATTTGGATTCACACACCAAATCTGGTAATCTGCAGTTTGCGTTCTCTTAATTGGCTGCTGCTCTATTTCTGCATAAATAACTCTTTTAACACTCAACCAGTTAGTGATGTGCAGACAGAGGTGGCACTGACTTTCCCACAAAAAAGACGTCAGCAGTTTGCAAAGGTCCAGTTACTTACATCTGTACTCCTGAAGGAGCAGCGGTATGAAATCCCAGGATAGGCTATTGAACCCAGGGTTCAAAGCTATTGTTATTAACTCCATCTAGTTTCTTCATCAAGGTCTTCACAAGTGCATCTCATTAGCCTAGCTCAGAGTTCAGCTTAAACAAAAGCCAGAAGACAGATCAGATCAACACTCAAAGGTAGCACTAATGATATGATTAATTATTAGTTAAGTAGAACTTTAAACGTTTAAATTAAAATTTTGAAGAGGTATGATTGCGTTGGGTGGAGGTTTGAGTGGAGAAATGCATCTGTATGTAGGTTGCAAAGGAATAAGTAGAAGTTGAGTCTACTTTTCAGCATGGAATAAACCCCGACTTGGATCAATGCATCTAGCCATAATGTAGGGCATGATGGCTACATCGGCGTCATTTCTGTTGGCATAACTGGTACTGCTTGTTTTGGTTGCTTGTGTATGACAAGATAAAGTTTGTAGTTACAGATTTTGCCTACACTAAAAACAAGAATAAAAGTTATTTTAGGTAGTGAAAGCTATTTTTTTTTCTTTTGTTGAATTGCATTTCAAAAATACCAAAATGCATTAGGAAACTCTATCTAAAAATTGAAAACTATACTAACATGCAAAGAGTAAAAAGTTAATTTCAAGCCCTGAACCAACTTTTAGTGCATGCTGGGTTGTGTTGTAGAATATAGTCACGTCTGTCGCGCTCTGCTGCAATTTTCTTTTGGAATTTGCATTCTGGAAAGTAATTTCACAATGGTGTCAACATCAGTTACACATGGTATGTGTGCCTTGGGTTTTGTTGGCATATAACTGCATTTGTCCTGGAAGATTTTTTTATATGCAATGATTCATGGATTCATTTTTTATTTAATATTTTGAAAGCATGCCCAACAAAGGACTGTCTTTTGTTTTTGAGGTTACATTATTGGATTATTGGTGTGTGAGACGTTTTCAAAACACACACTGAGCTATTGGTTCTGTTGCACATTGCAATGGGCTGAGTTTAAAACTTTAGGTGTAATGCATTGTCACTTCCATTGCACATTTTGACTAGAAGCTAATATATATTATAAGGGCTTCTTGTATTTATCCTCCGTTAATTGCCATGTAAATATGATGTAAACATACCACTGGAGAATGTGAGTGGCAATTTTAAGACTGCATCAGTTAACACATGCTCTAAATGTTTTGTAAACATTTGACCGCAAATTTGCTGCAAAATAGCTAACATGAGGAAAAAGCAAGAATCTTTTAAAAAACTATTCTGCCAATGGGAAGCTGTGACCCATTATAAAATGTAAAAAAAAAAGGTTTAATTTTTTTATGAAATGTTACATTATTAATAGAAAAATGCGTGGACATTAAAAGAGCCTGTGGCTGTTGCACTATGCATATAAACCTTAGTTCTATATGTTGCCCTTATACCTTTCAGGTGCACCTTAATCCAGTAAGTTAACCCCTTTCTCAAAAGAGCATGGTCCTCGTTTTTTTGTCAGTCCACATGAACAGCTCCTGTACCGTACCAGTTCAAGCTGTGACACATCTGTGGTGAAAGTATCGGTATGTTTGGGTTCAGCCTGTGACACAATAAAAAGCTGCAGTATATTATACATGCTAGAGGTTCTTGTTACTTCTTCGTCTTTAAATTTTAATGTTGTACCTAGGCTAGATCTGAATAGAAAAGTAAAGTCTTACCTGTAGCTCCTTGCTCAAGCTGTTGTGCAGCATTTTATTTTTACAACAAGAGGGCATTGTTTCCCATATGAACCTTTAATTTTCTTCAAAATAATAAATGCATTTTTTTAAATAAGTAGTCAGTTTAGATTTAATTTTAAATCCGATTTGTTGTGCCTTCTTCACATTGGTTTATTTTTTTGTCTTTCTTAATATGTTTCAGTGTTACACCTAATTTAGTGGAACTTAACCCTACAAAGTCAGCATCTGTCAGAAATAATTTAGCAAAATTATTAAAGTAATTTTAAAATACCTATTAAAAGAAATATTAATGGTAAAGGGTGCTATTTTATCAATCAGAAATCAAAGTACCCTTTTTGGCTTTACTTTGTTTTTTAACGCTTATCATGGCTTCAGTATTTACAAAACACTGTAGTTTTGACCAGATTGTGCTGAATAGATCATCAACAAAACACATTAAATCTTCTTGTCCTTTCTTTTTAGAAGTTAGTTGTAATTCATATTTTGATGTATAAAATCTGAATTATTACATACTATTTTAAAGAGACTGTTTTAAAGTGTTTACAACACTGTCGTGGAATAGAACAAAATGTAAAAGCAACAGTTCTATAATGCTGCTGTCTCTATTGTTTCATTTTTACGATAAACTCGCTTCCTTTCTGAGAGGTCATAAAATTGACACACTGATATTTTAATTTCACATCACATCTTCCTTAATCCTTCCAGTACCAGGCATTTTTTTCCGGCCTTGGAAAGTTGGTTAAAAACTTTATCAAAGCTCAAACAGATTAGGCATTACCTGAATTTAAAGTAGTGAGGCTAAAAATGAGAGCTTAACATATTTGTCCATTTCTTCGGCATCCTGAGCATGGGTACGAGTATCCAAGGAAATCGCACAACGAGCGGGATTCTTCCTGGACGCATCCTGGACCAGAGCGTCCAGCTCTGAGGGCAAAGGAAGCGGATCGGGCCGCGGGTGTCGGCGGCTCTCGGCCAGCGCTTTAATATAGTGCAGCTTTTTGGGAAGAGGGGCCTGTGTGTTGTGCGGCGGGGGCGCAGGGCCGTGACTGTGCTGTGCTCCGCTCTCGCCTTGCAGCACAAGCAGCGCTGCCCCGTGCTGGAGGACCAGCTGGTGGACCTGGTGGTGTACGCCATGGAGCGCTCGGAGACCGAGGAGCAGTTCGACGACGGCGGCACCAGCCAGCTGCTCTGGCAGCACCTGTCCAGCCAGCTCATCTTCTTTGTGCTTTTCCAGTTCGCCAGCTTCCCTCACATGGTCCTCTCCCTTCACCAAAAGGTACGTGGAGGTCTCCCGCCTCCGACCTGCAGGATCAGAGCTGAAATTCATTTCGTTTGGGGGGAAAAAAAACTGGAAAGTAATAAGTATTGAAATGTGTGAATCTGCAAATGCTAAACTTGGAGCAAGATTTTCTGGGGTTGTATGTTTTATATCACGCTAGGAGTACAGGTTGTGTGCCTTTTTTGCAAAGGCACTATTATCATTTTTTTTACAATAAAAAGTTACAGTTAAGTCAAGTTTTGCATTTGAGCTAAGGCCCCTGTGTAGTGTGATCATACACAGCACACCCCCTTTGTGGTTTCATAAATGTCTGTCGTATTTCAGTTAAAAGTCATTTTTACTTCATCCCACCTTATAGTTTCAGAGCAAAAAATTGAATTTGTCCTCAAAAATATGTTGCAGTCTATTTAGCTCTTCTGGAACAACACATAATTTTGACCAAATATGGATTCTAATATTTCACAGTTTGCAGTTTTAAAAAAAACTGAATGTGTATGTGAATTAAGCTGGGGAGTTTTGTTGTTTTTTGTTGCTTTGTAGCTGGCTGGACGGGGTCTCATTAAGGGAAGGGATCACCTGATGTGGGTTCTTCTGCAATTTATATCTGGCAGCATCCAGAAGAATGCTCTTGCTGACTTCCTTCCTGTTATGAAGCTCTTTGATCTTTTGTACCCAGAGAAAGAGGTAACTAAACAGCACAAGATGTTCAGTGAGCTGCCGCGTTGTTGCAGGTCAAAGGTCAACGCCGAAAGCCAAAAAGAGAGTGATTTAATTCTGCAGTGAAACTGTGTCTGTGTGAAAGTAACAAGTGATTTCCAGGTAACGCCGCCAATTCTCTGTCCAGTTTCCTGGCACTTGAAACAGTCTGTTTGTCCTTACTGTTTGAGGAAAGCAGAATAAAGCTGTGCGTAACGGTACAGGAAACGGGAGTAGGTGCAGGTCAGACAGTTTCAACACTGCTGAATTATGAGGGAATGTGCAAGGCGGGAGCAGCACCAGAGCACTAAATTCTTGTTTCTTTCTCAGTGTATCCCGGTTCCTGACATTAACAAGCCCCAGTCCACACATGCCTTCGCCATGACCTGCATCTGGATCCACCTCAACAGGAAGGCTCAGAATGACAACTCCAAGCTCCAGATACCAATCCCTCACTCTCTGAAGCTCCACCATGAGTAGGTCTTTGCTTTGTGTCTCACATCTGCTCCTCCTGTCGTTTTTGCAGGCTAAAAAGAGAACAAAAAAAAGTTTGTGGCTCTTTACAGCCAGTGTTTGAGCTGAGAATGGATGTCATTCCCCTTGTTATAAGAGGCATTCCCATTTGTAGAAAGTTTTCCGTACCGTTTAAGTAAACATACTCCAGGAGGTTTCACCATCAATAGCACTTCTTTTTCAAGTTAAGCTCTCTGTAACCCCATACTGAGAACTAAATATGCTGCCGAAGTTAGGTATTCAGTACATGTATTTCAGTACATTAGTAAGAAATAAATATTTTGTAAGTCTTAGTTTTGCACTAAGATGTCATGGGTCCACTTCACAAGAGATTATTGTAGGTCTTAGGCAGCCGCTATCTTAGTGTCGCATTTCAAATTCTTGATTGTTTTTAAGCTGCGTACATTTGTGCACGTGTTTAATGTAAAGAATTGTCTCACATTCTGCAAAGGAATCTTTTCGAGACTTCGACGGATTCACGTTATTTAGGGCTGCCCTGCTCTCGTGATCTGTCCATTTTCAGGTTCTTGCAGCAGAGTTTGCGAAATAAGAGTCTCCAGATGTCGGACTACAAGATCGCGCTCCTGTGCAACGCTTATTCCACCAACTCCGAGTGCTTCACGCTGCCGATGGGGGTGCTGGTGGAAACCATCTATGGGAATGGAAACATGAGGATCACCCTTCCTGGGACCAACTGCATGGCTTCGGGCTCTGTCACCCCACTGCCGATGAACCTGCTGGACTCACTCACTGTTCACGCTAAAATGAGGTGTGGTGCTCACGATCAGCGTATATATATATACATATAAAAGATTTATAGGAGGGCGTTTTCTAGGAGTTCATTAATTTAGAGTGCATTCATCACACTTCAAACATTTTTTCCAAAAATATATTTTTTATGTTGCTATATGAAGTTTAATGATGTTTGCGATAATAGATCTCACTCCCTTATACTTGTATTTATATGCAGATATAATAAGATTAGATGGTCATGATTTAAATTGCCAGGCAAGTATTACGTATAGTAATTGTAAATATGAGGAATAGTGAGTATTAATACGAGAAGTGAATTTTAATGTTTCCCCACAACATTTTGTATTGATTTATGTTGCATAACCAGGTTTACCTCGTACTGTGAAGGATTTGCTAGTGAAAATTATTATATGATTTTTTTAAGTGACTTGATATTTTCTGTATTTTAATGCATTGCAAAAGCAGACTTCTGCGACTGCAACAAAGCAGCACAGTGGAACATCTTCATGGACAAATTGTCAAAGAATTTGAGGAATTTTCATAAGGAGTTGTGTGTGAAACGCTCCACTCTTTCAGAATCAAAGTATGGTTAGTAGCAGGAGTTTTTACAAAATGTATTAAGACAGCGTCTCAGCACTTTTGAAGTTTAATTTTCAAGAACCATAAAATTTAGTTTCACTTTGAGGGGCAGAAAGAAGAAATAAAGTTTTGGCTCTTGAGCATTTTTCAAGTATGCCTGGTGAAGGTTTCACACCAGAGGAAAGCTCCTTCAAACACTCAAAACACCTTATCTTTCTGCTTTCCAGTGTAAAATTAACCTTACTTGTTCCTTTCCAGCCAGTGTTCTCTGAGACAGCTCCCTGTTCAAACATTTATACTGTGTCTTTGGCTTCTTTTCTCTTTGGGTGAACAAAGTTAAAGACTTGAAACTTTTGAACAGCCTGTGAGATTTGTACAATTCGCAAGTACGACCTCATTTGGAATGTTATGTACTAAGAAGGTCATCCCAAAAGATGTTCCTTCTCTGGAAAGAGTCCAGAGAACAGCAACCAGATGCCTTCTCGCCGTTAATTTTTTTTTTCCTCTGGCAGGATAGGAGAACTAACCCTTTTAGCTTTGAACAGAGAAATCTACAAGGGGACATGATTGAGGTATCCCATGTCCTTTAAAGACATTGACAAAGTCAACCCAGTCGAGTCCATTACAGTCAACACTGAAACATTAACCAGAGGACCAAAATGGAAACTTTTAAGGAAAGATGCATTTGAAACTGAGACCAAGAGGAGGCAGTTTTTTGCACAAAGGGTATAGGAAGCTAAAACTGATACCATGCTTTTTCTCAAGAAGTGGCTGGATTGGATCATTTTATCAATTAGTTACTTACAGTACAACCAAATGATGATAGATGAGCCAAATGGCTGACTCTCATTTGCTGCTTTTCTGCTGTTCTTATAAGAACTTATGATTGAGTCAGTGGCTGTAATAATGCTTTATTTCATCTTGTACTTTCAGAGGTACAAAATTCTGTTTTCTTTCATTATTACAGCCTCATTCACAGCATAGCCACAAGAGTGATCAAACTTGCCCACGCCAAATCAAGTCTAGCTCTGGCTCCTGCACTGGTGGAGACCTATAGCCGCCTGCTGGTCTACATGGAAATCGAATCTCTGGGAATCAAAGGTTTTATCAGTAAGTTCTGGGCTTTCTGGTTCTTATTCTGTTAATTCCTAAAAAAAATTTTTGTAAAATGTGAATTTGCATAATTCTGGAAATTAATTTAGGCATTGTTCTTTTGATAGAAATATTCAATTTTTTTTGCTCAATGATTGACATTACAATGTTAGGGAAGTAGTGTAATACACTGTGAATGTAAAAATTGTGAATATCACATGTTTGTGTTAAAAAAAACACCCTTTTAGAATTTGTTTCAGCTAGCTTTTTTCTCGGTGGTAGAAATCCTGTTTCTCCCGAAGAAGGCTCCACAGCCGAAATGTTGTGTTTTCTCTATTCTCTTTTCAGCAGGGAATAATCCTATTACTTTTTCCTGTACAGCCTATGCATACTGACACAGCTACCCACCTGAAATCCTATTTCTGTGTTGGTAAATGCAGAAACACCCATGAACATAGGATAGCAAGGCTTTGATTGACAGGAAAGGTGCGATCAAGAGGTGCTGTTTCAATCGCACAGCATGCTCAGGTGTGTTTTGCATGCTTGCAGGCCAGCTGCTGCCCAATGTGTTCAAGTCCCACGCCTGGGGGATCCTGCACACGCTGCTGGAGATGTTCAGCTATCGGATGCACCACATCCAGCCCCACTACAGGGTGCAGCTGCTCAGCCACCTGCACTCCCTGGCAGCTGTGCCCCAGACCAACCAGAACCAGCTGCACCTGTGGTCAGTCGGCGCCAGGGGAGGAGGGGGGCAGTGGGGAAGCAGGAGGGGTGGTGGGCTTCCCTGACTTCTACAATTCAGCAGCATTTATGAGCATCGTATGCCAGTGAATGAATTTAATTTGATTGGCAAATGTGATGGATTACTTACTACAGAATGTGACATTGGCTTCTTATGTATAGCCAACAGCTTGGCTTCTTAACTGAGCTGTATGGTATTGATAACATTTCACATTATTTCTGTGGGTTATAAGTACAGGTGGGGACTTTGAGCATTATCAATTTACTCAGTAACATAAAGGTATTGTAACTAATTGTAAATATTAGTCATAACGTCTAAATCTTTTGCATAACTGTGTCTTCAGTCATAAAAATAGATATACTGATGTTTTTCACCGCCTGCAATATCCTAATTTTGTTTCCCAAAGTTAAATTATACCTGTTGAATGTTATTTAAAAAAATTGATCATCATCCTGGCTTCTTTTTGTTAATGAAAAATTGACAGGAAATGAAACAACGTTGTGTAATTTAAACTGAATATACCTGTGCATTTAGAAGGTCACACTTAGAGGGACTAACCCGTGGTTTTATGCTCTATTAGATTAATATTCACACAGTCAGACATTTCTAAATTATATTTATATAATGCCTTCTCTGTCATCGAATTTCTCATGTGACACATTGTAGTCCTATTGGTACCTTTCATAGTATAATTTTGTGTTTAGGTTTTTGCTGAAGATGTCTCTCGAGAAACATTGCCCAAAGCCTTGATGCCTTGATGCCATTGAATTAATGCTTCTTGTATTGCAGTGTGGAGAGCACAGCTTTGAGGTTAATCACAGCCCTTGGAAGTTCTGAAGTCCAGCCCCAGTTTACACGCTTCCTCAACGACCCCAAAACTGTTCTCTCTGCCGAGTCTGAGGAGCTCAACAGGGCTCTTATTCTGACTTTGGCCAGAGCGACACATGTTACAGGTAGACCCTCGCGTGGGAGTATTGTTTTGTGCCATTCAGGTGCCTCTCGTACATGAACTTTCTTGAGTTCTGTATCTTCAGATGAGAAATCGAACTTCCAAGATGAAAAATCTGAGATTGTAATGTGGTACCCGCGTGTTTCTGCCGTCAGGTCTTGTGTTACCCATAACCACTATTCACTGGGATGATTGGAGAATTATCCTTGTTCTTGTTCTAGTCCAAGTTTACATCATATTTAGAGCCTATGATAACAGTTTTTTTTCCTTTTATGTTGTGCTTCAGATTTCTTTACTGGCTCGGACTCGATTCAAGGCACATGGTGCAAAGACATCCTGCAGACGATAATGAGCTTCACCCCACACAACTGGGCTTCTCACACCCTGAGTTGCTTCCCAGCTCCATTGCAGGTATGTGGAGTTTCTTCTTGAATGTGTACAGTTGCAGCTGATACACTCTTTGCAGATATGATACATGTAGCACACATGCGGAGTGCTTGTTTGATTCATGCTGCTTAAAAATGCTTAAGAGAGAGAGAATGGTGACATGTTTTTTAATTAGCCATACAGACGAGGTCTCTAGTAACACCTTAAGAAGCAGACAGAACAAGATCAAGGACAATAGAATGAGAAATTTTGAATGTTTGTTTAGCAGAGGACCTAAATGAACAGTTATTGATAATGAATTATTATGTATTTCAGGCATTTTTCAGACAGAACAACGTGCCACAGGAGAGCAGGTTCAACCTGAAGAAGAATGTGGAGGAGGAGTACAGGAAGTGGAAGTCAATGACCAATGAGAATGACATCATCACCCATTTCTCCATGCAGGGCTCACCGCCTCTGTTCCTCTGTCTGTTGTGGAAGATGCTTTTAGAGACAGACCACATTAACCAGATTGGTTTCAGGTAACTGAACATATAATTGCATTGGTACAGTTGCAGAAGTCACCTGCAGTAGGGTTCATTTTTCAGTATGAGCTCCAACATTTTGTTCCCTTTCCTGTTTCAGTAATGTATAAATTCAGAATGTTCTAAAATTAGTGCAACTTCAGAGGGTAGAGCCTGTTGTCTACAGGCAGCATGGATGGATGCTTCCAGCGCCAGAGGCAGAAGGCATGTAATGGCCACAGGTCTGCCACTGGAGGCCACTTACTGTCCTTAGGACTTGTGCTCCTGTGTAAAGGTCTCCCCCCTGAGCAGTTAAGGTTCAGAGTGATGGTGCACTTGCATGTGGGGTGAGTTAGTGGGTTTGGTGGATCTATACCTATCTTGTGTGTCACTGGGGATGAGGAATCGGAGCTTGACGGTAGGTGGCCATTGGGCCAGGTAGACCAGGGGCTCCTGATCCAGGGTCTGAAGGTCCCCTAAGCTTAATGACCTCATGGAAGCCTTTATTGAACTTATACATTCCTGGATTGGAATATTTGCAAGGTCTTCATTTTCTGCTCGGGTGGAAATGGAAGGTTTTGCTCATGCAGTGAAATAGCTGAAAGGCTAATCGCCACCGTGTTGAAGAGCTGAGAGCAGCAGTCAGGCAGTTCGGGTGAATCTGGTGACGAAGTCAGGAAAGGGTGGGCTTGTGTACCAGACAGCAGGGCTGGCACACAAAGTGGCAGGTGTGTGTGTGCCTCCAGCACCAGGACTGGGAGGCAGTTCTCTTGTTAGGAACGGCTTTTCACTGGGTAAGTGCGATGAGCTGCCCCAGAAAGTGAGGGTGTCTAATATGTAGTAGGGGTCCAGGTGAACTAGACTTTTTTTTGTGCTTGTATGTGAAGTAAAGCCAGGAAATGTCCAGCAGAGTGCGGAGTAGTTTATGCGCAAACATCTGTGGGGGGAAAACACTCCATGTTTCTCCTATCTGTCCTGAGGCCTTCTTCTCTGAAACGGTATAGAAGGGGAAAAAAAGCAGTATATAAATGAAGAAAAATGGGCAATTTTTGTTTCCCTGTCCATAGATATAATGGCTATTGTAAACAGCAGCTTTTGTCAAGGCATGATACACCTGTAGCTTGTTCCTTCGCTGTGCTACATAAAGAACAGTTTGCATGAGCATTCGAATTTTGATTTATATGGATCGTGCTCAAAATTGACATTCAAAGAGAAATCACTGCCCTCTGCTGGAATTTAGAAAAGGTTGTTCATGGCTGTCCTTTATGTAGGCACTTTAACGTTCTGTATATTTTTTCAAAAAAGGCCATTTTGAAACACAAAACTAGCAGTTGTGCCTATTAAATCTCCCTTTAAAAGTTCAGTCTGTAGAAATGTTCTGTAAAGGTTGCATAACAGGTTGTGTTCCCTTGTAATTTATTTGATTAAACTTCTTAGCCCCAAGGGATTGTCTTATGGCAAGTGTACGTGAACGATTCTTATTTAATCACAGAACAGTTGACATAGCTTAAAGCCATGTTCTTTTTTATGTACAACTCTAGGGAGTTGTTGTACAGAATGACATGTAATGCTGATTTAAAAGTACTGTGGTAATGATTCAAGGCCTGGCACTCTGGTTAATATTTTAATTGGTTTAATGCCTTTGGTTTTTCTGAACTATTTCTGGAGTGTCGCGTGTTTCCCCCTGACCCGTGTCGGCCTGCAGGGTCCTGGAGCGGATCGGAGCCAGGGCTCTGGTGGCGCACGTCAGGACGTTCGCCGACTTCCTCGTGTACGAGTTCTCTACCTCCGCGGGAGGCCAGCAGCTGAACAAATGTATCGAGATCCTCAACGACATGGTGTGGAAGTACAACATCGTCACTTTAGACCGGCTCATTTTGTGTTTGGTGAGCAATTCTACATCATTTTGTT